TGTACTCAACCCAAGTGTACTAGACTATGTGTGCCTAGGCTACCTTGTCAATTGACTTAACCCTAGTGTACTAAACCCCTAGTGTACTGGACTATGTGTGCCTAGACTACCTTGGCAATTGACTTAACCCTAATGTACTAAACCCCTAGTGTACTGGACTATGTGTGCCTAGACTACCTTGGCAATTGACTTAACCCTAATGTACTAAACCCTAGTGTACTAGACTTTGTGTGCCTAGGCTACCTTGTCAGTTGACTTGACCCAAGTGTACTTAACCCAAGTGTACTAGACTATGTGTGCCTAGGCTACCTTGTTAATTGACTTAACCCTAGTGTACTAAACCCTAGTGTACTAGACTATGTGTGCTTAGACTACCTTTCAATTGACTTAACCCTAGTGTACTAAACCCTAGTGTACTAGACTATGTGTGCCTGGGCTACCTTGTCAGTTGACTTAACCCTAGTGTACTTAACCCTAGTGTACTAGACTATGTGTGCCTAGGCTACCTTGTCAATTGACTTAACACTAGTGCACTAAACCCTAGTGTACTAGACTATGTGTGCCTAGGCTACCTTGTCAATTGACTTAACCCTAGTGTACTAGACTATGTGTGCCTAGGCTACCTTATTAATTGACTTAACCCTAGTGTACTTAACCCTAGTGTACTAGACTATGTGTGCCTGGGCTACCTTGTCAATTGACTAAACCCTAGTGTACTAGACTTAACCCTAGTGTACTTAACCCTAGTGTACTAGACTATGTGTGCCTGGGCTACCTTGTCAATTGACTTAACCTTAGTGTACTAGACTATGTGTGCCTAGGCCACCTTGTCAGTTGACTTAACCCTAGTGTCCTTAACCCTAGTGTACTAGACTATGTGTGCCTGGGCTACCTTGTCAATTGACTTAACCCTATTGTACTGGATTATGTGTGCCTGGGCTACCTTACCGAAGGGCTTAACATTAGTGTACTAGATAGCGAGAAAGATCAACATATAAACAGATCTGAGAGAGAATACCAAATAAAGCAAACTGGCTAGGAGCCTATATGCTCATTAGTGACTCATAAAAACAAAGCAACCTGCCAAAGCCAAATGATGTCCCGCTCTTATTGCATAATGAATGAGGAAGTGTTTTAAGTTTCTGTGATATGAAGACTGGAATCCAGAACACATCTTCTTGGCTGATATAAAATAGGCACAAGTTTGAATGTTTTATTATTCGCTGATGCAGATGGACTTGCATATTACATTCAACCAGCAGGGATGTGCAAGCCTCAAAATCACCTTGTTCTTCATTTTCCTGAACAGCAGCGCTAGTCCATCTTTAATCCTAACGTAATGAGCAGCGCTGCTTTAGCTAATGGAGCAACAGTGCCAGGACCTCCAGACGCAGCGAGACACTGAGCTCCCACTGACAATCTAATGAGCTTATTTGATAACCGAACCACAGAGGAAATGTATGTGAGGAAGGCCTTTACCTCCATTACCATGATAGAATACTGTAGTCAAGAACCTAAATGGACTTTCTGCTAGAGGACTGATCTCAGGTTAGGTGCTGAGTGACAACGCGACCTCGATGGGAAGGATACATGAAGCTCAAAAGGTTTGTTTGTGCAGATGAGGTGGAATAAAGATTTTAATGAGCAAAGTCAGAATAAAGAGCGGCAGTGGCGAGCAGAAGCTCATTAGTAGATATGAACTTTATACCTCGACTAAACACGCAAACTTCTTACAATGGCACAGATTGCTCAGCTATAATCCCCTGATGATTTCCCAGTATTGCTTTCATCACACTTGAAATGCTTGTCTCATGTTGGAACAGTTTTTTCCTACTCAAAGCACACTGTCATTCTTTTGGAGCCATCAGATGTTAAATAACTTCAGTTTAGTTTTACTTGGTTTTTGCATTTTATTTAATGTGGAAAATTAAGAGCTGGCCAAGATAGTCAGTCAAAACGAAGCAAAGCAAAACAAAACAGATACAAGATCAAAAACTGAAGAAGAAAAAATAATAATAATAAATTAATTAATTAAACAGACACAAAAACAAAAACTGAAACAAAACAAAATTAAACTAAACAAAACAAAACACTAAATTTAATTGAACACAGCAAATCTAAACAAATCTCAACCTGGCCAAGATTTTTGAAACAAAATAAATCAAAACAAAATAAAACTATATTAAACTGAAAAAAGCAAATCTAAAGAAATCTCAACCTGGCCAAGATAGGCAGCGAAACAAAAACAAAACAAAACAAAACAAAACAAAATTAAAGAAACAAACAGAAATTAAACTAATTAAGACTGAACAAAACAAATCTCAACCTGGCAGAAAACGAAACAAAACGAAGCAAAGCAAATTGAAATTAAACAAAACGAGACAAAACGAAATAAAAAGAAAGAAAATGAAACGGGAAAAAACTAAATGAAACAAACAAAAAAAAATTTAAATGAAACAAAACAAAATGAAACTAAATTAAACTGAACAAAACAAATCTAAACAAACCTCAACCTGGCCAAGATAGGCAGCGAAACGAAATAAAACAAAACAAAATTGAAGAAACAAAAAGAAATAAAACTAAATAAAACTGAACAAAACAAATCTCAACCTGGCAGCAAAACAAAACAAAACGAAGTAAAAAAAAAAAAAAAAAAAAAAATTAAACGAAACAAAATGAAATGAAACTAAATAAAGCTAAATAAAACTGAACAAAATAAATCTCAACCTGGCAGCAAAACGAAACAAAACGAAGTAAAAAAACAAAAAAACAAAACAAAACAAAACAAAATTAAACGAAACAAAATGAAATGAAACTAAATGAAACTAAATAAAACTGAACAAAATAAATCTCAACCTGGCAGCAAAACGAAACAAAACGAAGTAAAAAAAAAAAAAATTAAAAAAAAAAAAAAAAAAAAATTAAACGAAACAAAATGAAGTTAAACTGAACAAAGCAAATCTAAACAAATCTCAACCTGGCCAAGAAAGGTAGTGAAACAAAAAATAATAATAATAATTAAAAAAAAAAAATAAAATAAAATAATATCATACTAAATGAAACTGAACAAAACAAATCTAAACAAATCTCAACCTGGCAAAGATAAGCAGCGAAACAAAACAAAACAAAACAAAAAAAAATTATTAAAATAAAATAAAATAAAATAAAATTAAAATAAATTAAATTAAATTAAATTAAATTAAATTAAATTAAATTAAATTAAATTAAATTAAACTAAATTAAATTAAATTAAATTAAATTAAATTAAATTAAATTAAATTAAAACTAATTTCAATTAAATTAAAACTAATTTCAATTAAACTAAATTAACTGAACAAAACAAATTTAAAAAAAACTCAACCTAGCCAAATTGGCAGCAACAAACAAAATTAAAGAAACAAAAAGAAATTGAACTGAATTAAAATGAAAACAAAATAGAACAAAATTGGCAGAAAATGTTGGGTTTTTCTAAACACAGGTATTTACATTTGTATTAGTATTTAAATAAATAAAACATGCGGCTTTATTATTTTAAGTAGAATGTAGTTTTGTGTTTCCAAGAAGATAATGTCCAAGAAGTTCCATCATCTTACTCATGAAATGCCTCAGCCAGCAGAGCTGACGACTGATACTATATTTTGTTTGATAGAAAAGTTTAATTGAGAATGGAAAGATGTGAAAGGAGGAAGCAAACCATACTCAACATGCTGTCTTACCCCAGGTTTTTCTCCAAACGGCTGCCCAACGAACCCACCACCTCTCCCAATGTACAGCAAGCCTGGCCCAGAAAATCCTGCATGAAAGAGAACATGAAAAAAAGCATCTTTCACCACGGCAAGATTAAAGGTCAGTCATTTCAACTTGTCTATTTATAGTATGCATGAAATTTCTTCTACAGTACTTCATCTGTAATCACTGGGCCAAAGCAAAAGGCGAAGATAAAATGATGCTTTTAAAGGACAAAATGGAGGATTTTTTTTTTCTCCCGACATAATTGAATAGTTAAAAATATAACAATTCAATAGCTAAAAACAACTTGTTCAAATTAACAAACTGCTTTTAGCAGACAAACACTCCAAAAGCATGACTACGAATGTATATTGAATATTAATGTAGTGTATGTGTGGGAATGCAAAGAAAAAACTGCTTATATACGAAGGTCACGTTAAAACATCCATTGTACAATTATTTTTAACATGGATAAATGTACAGTCTTATTACAAATGTATTTCTCACTCCAGTGTATATAAATTAATCCTTATCCTATGTATATGGATTATTTGTAGCACTGTTGTACTATTTATTTATTTATTTATTTATTTATTTATTTATTTATTTATTTATTTATTTATTTATTTATTTATTTATATTTATTCACATTTATTTATTTATATTTATTTATTTATATTTATTTGTTTATTTATTTATATTTATTTATTAATATTTATTGGTTTTTTTATTGATTTATTTTTATATTTATATTTATATTTGTATTTATTTGTTTACTTATTTACTTATTTATTTATTTATTTTTATAATTATTTTTATATTTATTTTATATTTATTTATTTGTTTATATTTATTTATTTATTTATAGTTATTTTTTTTATTCATATTTATTTATATTTATTTGTTTATTTGTTTATAATTATTTAATTATTTATTCATTTATATGTATTTGTTTTTTATTTATATTTATATTTATATATATTTGTTTACTTATTTATTTATTTATTTTAATATTTATTTTTATATTTATATTTATTTATTTGTTTATTTGTTTATATTTATATTTATTTATTTATATTTATATTTATTTGTTTATTTACTTATTTATGTTTATTTTATATTTATTTATTCATTTATTTATTTGTTTATTTTTTGAAAGTGCAACCGATACATTTAAATACAGTAGTCAAATTTAAAAAAAGGTGCATGGTACATAGGACTTTACAACATTATAAAGATAAAATTACTTGCACACCAAAACACAAGCTGTTTCCATCCACCTGCTTTTATGTGTATTTTGGAATAATTGCATTAAAATGCACAAACATTTTGAAAATGCGCATAAAAGCATGCATAAAACTGAGAAGGTGAAATTTGAATCCGATAACTTTTATTATATAAGAAAAGAGGCTCACAGTGGCTTTTCCTACTGTGGTTAATGACATGTTTTTCAGATTTTCACAATTTCACAAATTCATTTTGTTCTCCTTGACTCACTGGAAGGAATCACAATTTTTTTGATGTGATACTCCAGTTTTGAGACTAGTGTACTAGACTATGCATGCCTGGGTTACCTTGCCAAATAGCTTAACATTAGTATACTAGACTATGTGTACCTGGGCTACCTTGCTGAATAGCTTAACACTAGTGTACTAGACTATGTGTACCTGGGCTACCTTGCTGAATAGCTTAACACTAGTGTACTAGACTATGTGTGCCTGGGCTACCTTGCCAAATAGCTTAACACTAGTGTACTAGACTATGTGTACCTGGGCTACCTTGCTGAATAGCTTAACACTAGTGTACTAGACTATGTGTACCTGGGCTACCTTGCTGAATAGCTTAACACTAGTGTACTAGACTATGTGTGCCTGGGCTACCTTGCTGAATAGCTTAACACTAGTGTACTAGACTATGTGTACCTGGGCTACCTTGCTGAATAGCTTAACACTAGTGTACTAGACTATGTGTGCCTGGGCTACCTTGCCAAATAGCTTAACACTAGTGTACTAGACTATGTGTACCTGGGCTACCTTGCTGAATAGCTTAACACTAGTGTACTAGACTATGTGTACCTGGGCTACCTTGCTGAATAGCTTAACACTAGTGTACTAGACTATGTGTAGTCAAATGTAGCAGATTGATTTTAAAACACCAGGTTAAACTTTCTGGCCTATATACAGCACTGACATAATTAAAATTAAACGAAGAATAGACTTGGATCTTTTGGTTTGTGTGTGCACCATTGCATGCAAGATTTCTGTATTTATAACCACCTCAGAGGATATTGGGGGTCGCGAGTCACTGGTATTGTCATTTTGGGGGTCGCAGGCTGAAAAATTTGGGAACCCCTGTACTAGACTATGTGTGCCTGGGCTACCTAGCCAAATGGCCTAGCACTAGTGTAATAGACTATGTGTGCCTGGGCTACCTTGCCGAATGGCCTAACACTAGTGTAATAGACTATGTGTGCCTGGGCTACCCTTACAATTGGCTTAACACTAGTGTACTAGACGCTGTTGTACTATATGTACTATAACAACATGCATGCCCAGGTTTAACACTAATACCACACACTTTCTTTCCTTGCTACAAAGAAATTAATATTGCAGGCTGATAGAAAAAAATAAACAAACACCTCAGCAAGTATAAATGAGAACCCTTAATAATTCCATCGTCCTTCCATTTTTAATAATTCCAAAACACAGTGACATTCCCGTTTGGCTATTCATAAATCAAATTGGCATCTTTGGATGTAAACTGTGAGCTTCTTAAGCATTTAATTTCCAAATCATAGGCATTACCAGAGAGTTGGCCCTCCCTAACGGTTTCCTCTCCTCTGGGAAGGCTTTCCACTAGATGTTGGAACAAGACTGTGGGGATTTGCACTCATTCGAGAGCTCTGCTGTGGGGCGATGGGCTTTGGCACACAGTCAGTGTGCCAGTTCATCCCCGAGGTGTTCAGATTGGGGACTGGCGCAGCTCTCTCACAGTAAGACTCAGTAAACATTTGTTTATGGACTAGCTCGGTCCACAGGGAGGGAAGTAGACCGTTGCCATCAAGCTGGAAGCACATAGGTCTCTACAGTGGCACTGTATGTCATGGTAACAGGATTTTTCTATAACAAATAGTTGAAATAAGGGTGGGGTGGCTCAGTGGTTAGCACTGTGGCCTCACAGCAAGAAGGTCGCTGGTTCGAGTCTCGGCTGTGTCAGTTGGCGTTTCTGTGTGGAGTTTGCACGTTCTCCCCGGATTCCTAAAGGTGCTCCGGTTTCCGCTACAGTCCAAACACATGTGCAACAGGTCAGTTGAATAAACTAAATTGGCCGTAGTGCACACATATTAAAACATATGCTGGATAAGTTGGCGGTTCATTCCGCTGTGACAACCTCTGATAAATAAGACACTAAGACAAAGGAAAATGAATGAAATAAGGGTTCTTGATACTCTTTTTATAGTTATAAACTAGAGGTATCAAGCTTCAAAAAAAAAGGAAACCAAAATAACTATAAGTCAAGGATTTGTACTGGTAAAACATCACACTGAAAGGTCGTCATGCATTTAATAAGCCATCTGAAGTGAAGAACAGTGTTTGGCTTAGAAACTCAATTTGAATTCAGATGATTTTTCTTTGGCGGAGCTGTGAAGTATCTGCTCCGCTGACCTTTGCAACAGCAATTTTCTAAAGGATAATGTTTGTGGAATGAAGTCTATTTGATAAAAATGATCCTTTATTAGCTTTAGTTTGTGTTTGTGTAAATATGCAGAGCGATCAAAGAGACATTGAGAAAAGGGAATGGAGTAGCATATTTACCAGTGGCTGACCAATAATAGAAAGTTAAATTCTGATTAATTTAATTCTCATAAGTGGAACGGCCTTCAACAGTGACATTTATACTAAACTCAACTGAATCACTGCTAATTTAATAAGTACGACCCCAGTATTGATACGATATGCTGGAATCTTCCAAAAGCTGATGTTGCTTCATCTGTTTTGACACAAACTAGATTGTAAAAAGGCTTATAATAAAGATAAATTAAATCAAAATGCATTTAGCTTATGTGCAATATCTCTTCTTTATGTTTCCAATAAGAGGTAAGGTGTAAATGAAAAAGAGAAGGGGGCCAGTCACTGCACCCTGAGGCACCTCAGGGATTGTTTCATGTAATTCCGAGTCTTCCCCTTCAGTAAACCTTACAGCACAGGTGTCAAACTCAAAAGGGCCGCAGCTCTGCACAGTTTAGTTCCAACCCTAATTAAACACACCTGATCAAACTAATTGAGTCCTTCAGGCTTGTTTGAAACCTACAGGTAAGTGTGTCGGAGCAGGGTTGGAACTAAACTGTGCAGGGCTTCGGCCCTCCAGGATTTGAGTTTGACACCCCTGCCTTACAGCATCTGCCTATGACTCAATGCCAGAGAAGAGCACGTCATGAGAGGGTGGACAAAGGGATCTGGTGATTCTGCGTTTTAAAAAATGATCATTTTGTTTACAAATGGTTTCTTTTAGAAACTTTTTTCTTGTCGGCTTCCAGTCAAGAGCAGTGTGTTTTTAGGACTGAGAGGAAATAATACAGCTTTTGAGTACAAAGTAGCTTGTAATGATGACAGTATGTTCATTCACCAGTTCATCCATTTTCCTTCCACTTATTCCCTTATTTATCAGGGGTCACCACAGCAGAATGAACCGCCAACTATTCCAGAATACATTTATACACAGCGGATGTCCCGGTACTGGGAAACACCCACACACTACAATCAAGGTTATAATAGTTTTGGATTTTTCATTAGTTTTAGTTTCTATTTCGTTTTGACTTTTTTTTTTCAAATTCAGTTTTTTTCAGTTTTAATTAGTTTTAGAGGTAGATTTCTTAGTTTTAGTTTAGTTTTTATTAGTTTCTATATTTTAAAAATTAGTTTTAGTTTAGTTTTTATTAGTTTCTATATTTTAAAAATGTCTTAGTTTTAGTTTAGTTTTTATTAGTTTCTATATTTTAAAATGTCTTAGTTTTAGTTTAGTTTTTATTAGTTTCTATATTTTAAAAATGTCTTAGTTTTAGTT